TGGCATTCAGCAGATATCCGCCACTATAAGGGCTTTCTGTAGCTCTTTGAATCGAGTAATACGATTGACTATCATTTTTATAACGCGCTCACAGTTGAACGTTTGGAGTTTGTTCAGTGGCATTGTCACTCAAACCTTAGACCTTCCGATCCGCATTTCGGCTCGCTAACCATTTATAAGGATATTGGTTTTATGGGGATTTCATTTGCTTACTGTGAGAGAACATTAATTTATTGAAAAAAATAATAATAATAGCAAGAAAAATTATATTTTATTCATACTAACTTGGGTTGTTTGTGGACAAATTTATACATTGTTCGTTTGTTTCAGAGCAAAGTCACATTGGGCTATCTGCTGTGTCCGTCGCGCGAAATCGAATCCTGGATTTTAGCGTTACAAGTCCTTAGACTTACCGCTGTCCCACTGGGGGGACATTCATACATTATCTTCAAAATGACCCAGCCACAAACTCATCAGTGATATTAAGTGATTTATAATTTTTAATGTCAGAAACGACCTTTTAGGGCCTAATCTCTTCTTTAGCACACGGTTAGAATATATACCCCGAGTAACAGTTTACATTAAAAACGTTGAATCATTTTATTTTCGGTGTATATCTTCTACGTTTTGTGATTACTTACGCATTTTCTTGCGTGATCCTTTCGATAATCCTAGTTTTTGATACACTTCGTTTACTTAATTATAAACGATATTACTCCAAATAGTTAAGATGTATATGTTCTGTTGAAGATCACGAAAAGTATCGAAATCTTCATTCAGACAATTTAGTTTTTTTAAGAGTTTTTAACTCATCGATAAAGTTGTCATTGTAGCAAAATGAAAATGAAACGTGTAGTCCTATAAACTGAAGATTAGTAAATTTTGATTACTAAAACTTAGATCCAAGAAAACGTATTCATATACATTATTTATAATGGTTTGATAAATGACAGCTGTCACAGACGCAGTTATGGAAAACGTTCTATTGAATACATCCCAGCCCACCATTATTGGATATTACTTAAAGTGTTGTTTAAAGGAAGAAAAATTTGATATTGACACATTATAAGAAGTGAAGTATGCGCAAACAGAAAGTTCGATAGATTAACGAGTTCGTGAAAAATGTATTATAAAGATAATGAACTGAAATTATCATATTTTCTTAAAGATAATACAGGAACCCAAAATCATCTATATAAATATAATAATACTGTATCTTGTATTTCCATGTAACTACTTTGCAGAATATGGATGTATCTTCACCAAAATTGGTATGGAGGTTCATTAGGTCCATGCGGGGGTACATACAAATTTTCAGTTTTGCGTTTTGTGGTTTTTATGGATGCTTTTGCGTTTTCTATTTTTTACCACCACTTCGCTCCTGTTGATGGAACTTCACAAAAATTGGCATTAAAGTTTATTGGATCCATGCAAACTTGCGGTTTCACATTTTGTGTTCTGCAGTTTTTGTTGTGATTTTTATAATTACATTTAAGGGAAGCAACTTTTCATCTCCTAAAATAACCTTTCATTAATCTAGTTAGTACATATATATATATTTGTTTGTTGCTAAACGCAAAGCTGCACAGTGGCTGTACTGTACTCACAGCAAGTATCGAAACCCGAATTTTTGTCGTTGTAGGCCCTCAGACTTACAGCTGAGTCAACGTGGGGCATATATATATTTGTTTGTTGCTAAACGCAAAGCTGCACAGTGGAGTGTCTGTACTGTACTCACAGCAAGTATCGAAACCCGAATTTTTGTCGTTGTAGGCCATCAGACTTACAGCTGAGTCAACGTGGGGCATATACATATGTATCAGTTCCCAGTGCCTTAATGTGCTATATTCTGCCAATATTTTTCTTTTATTGAAAAAGTAAATAAGAAAGAAAGACAGAAAATAAAATTAGTCCGAATAAAGCAAAAGAACATCTCTTTATTTACAGACCTATATATTGTACATGCATACTTACACAGACATATATTTGGACAAAAATCTTCTTTCACATGCACACGATATATTAAATCCAGCGCTATTTATAGATATTTAACAATAATAATAATTACGAATACCACTAAATTTGATAAAAAAACAACTTATACAAAAAATACAGTTTCTAAATAAAGATTTTATAATTTGTAGATAAACTGTGATTTTGTATCAAATATTTGTAATGCTCATTAGGTATTTTATATCAATCTTTATACAAGATTTAGTAAAAATAGAAATGTAAAGACTGGTGGGTAAAAACCTAACTTAAAAATACCATCTCTTAAAAATTGTTTTCGAAAACTAATGGTAGTCCTAACCAACCCTGTTATAGTTTTTAAATATGAAATAATCACTATAGTTTGATTTTTTATACGACGACATTTTAAATCTAAGGCAGCAAAAATATTCTGAAACCACACCTATTAAAGACCAAGTATTAAAAGTAAATTCTCAACCACTGAGCGGATTAGATGTTCGATTTTTAGCGTGTTTCACAAAAAAATTTGGAAGAAACACATAAAAAAAAACTTAAAAAGTTTTAGAAAGCGGAAAAACGGTCACTTAATTATGGCTTGATTTTAAAATGCAACTGTAATTATTTAATTTAAAATTGCAGGGAAGATAAAAATACAAAACTCACATCATCTACTAGGTAGCAGTGACTATATCGTATCATTTTTACCTTGAGAAACTACGATCTACGTGAAGATCCAGAGGTGTCAAAACTCACATCATCTACTAGGTAGCAGTGACTATATCATAGCATTTTTACCTCGAGAAACTACGATCTACGTGAAGATCCAGAGGTGTCAAAACTCATATCATCTACTAGGTAGCAGTGACTATATCATAGCATTTTTACCTTGAGAAACTACGATCTACGTGAAGATCCAGAGGTGTCAAAACTCATATCATATGCTAGGAGCAGTGACTACATTATAGTAGTTTTATTTCGAGAAACTGCTTATCTAAGATCTACGTAAATATCCACATGTGACAAAACTCATTTCACCTCCTAAGTAGCAGAAGCTTTTTCATAGCATTTTTACCTTGAGAAACTAGATCTACGTGAAGATCCAGAATAATTTTGTTTTGGCATTTAATTATTTACTTGTTTGCGTTTAAACGTAAAGCTACACAGTGGGCTATCTGCACTGTACCACTACGAATATCGAACCCAGATTTTAGCGTATAAGCCTTCAAGTTTACCACCGAACCACTGGGAGGGGACATTTAGTGAAATTACCATAGATCTTCTTTGTACTTGAAATGCTTGCTATATTATTAATCATGCGAAGTTCTCTTAATAATAGATTAATGGAATTCTTTGGAAAATCTCAGACATATAATCATTTTGATTAATTAACACTTATCATTGTTAAGCTTTTGACATTAAATGGCGTTGTTTCAAATGTTATAAAGTGTTATTCAGGAAGGATTTACATCGTTTTTCCAGGATTATGTATACAATAGCACAAGGCTGTTACTTAAAATTTGATGTCTCCTGGTGGCTCAGTGAAACATCTCAGGGCTTATAACGCTAAAAATCGCGTTTCGATACCAGCCGTGGGCAGATCAAAGTGTTGTAAAACTTTGCTCACACTTTATATTTAATGGTGCTCAGTGTTGCATAACCTTGTTCATACTTTATATGCAGTGTTCAAAGTGTTGCATAACCTTTATTTACACTTTATATTCAATAGTGTCCAAAGTGTTGCATAACCATGTTCATACTTTATATTCAATGGTGTTCAAAGTGTTGCAAAACCCTGTTCATACTTTATATTCAATGGTGTTCAAAGTGTTGCAGAACCCTGTTCATACTTTATATTCAATGGTGTTCAAAGTGTTGCAGAACCCAGCTCATACTTTATTTTCAATGGTGTTCAAAGTGTTGCATAACTTTGTTCATACTTTATATTCGATGGCGTTCAAAGTGTTGCATAACCTTGTTCTTACTTTAATATGTTTTGTTGTTCAAGCTGTTATATGACACTGATCACACTTTACCATATTGTTCATGTTCGTATGGTTGTTCAAATTGTAACGTAATAATGTTCAGACAGTTGCGTATTACTGTCCATATTTTATGTACATTAGTGTTTAGATTGTTCCATAACATTGTCCAGACTTTAACATGTCATTCAGACTGTTGATTAACATTACCTAACTTTAACATGTTCTTTAAAATGTGGCAAACCATTATTTAGACTTTCTTAATAAGTTGTTGTTCAAAATTTTAGGTAACATAGTCCAGACTTTAACGTGCTGTGGTTCAGATGACATAATATTGTTCAGATATTTTACAACTTGTTGTTTAGACTGTTGCGTAACATTGCCCAGACCTTAACATGTTGTTCAAAATGTCACGTAAATCACATAATTTTGCCCAGACTTTAACACGTTATCGTTCAAACTGTTACATAATACTGCCTAGCAAAATGTTGTTGTTCAGAATGTGACATATCATCGTTAAGATTTTCAAAACGTTGTTCAAACCGTTATATAACAGCTTCCAGATTTTAGCGTACTGAAATTCAGAATGTGATATAACAATGTTCAAACTTTAATTAAAGTGTTGTTGTTCATATTGTTACATGAAATTGTCCAGACTTGAACATTGTTTGCTCATACCGTTACATAACATTGCCCAAACATCAATACGTTTTTATTCATAACAACATTTAGCACCAAATTCTGTAGACGTTTTTTGACAATATAATTATGCATGGTAATTTTATATTGACCAATTTTTAATATTTGAGATAATATAAAAACATTCCCATAATTGCAATTTTCATCAGAAGTTTAACATTTATTTTTAATTTTCTTATTCGTTTTATAATTTTGAATAATAAAAGTAGAGGAAGCAAAAACAAATACTATACAGACATATTTACTTTAGAGTTTGTGAACATTTTTATATTTAAAGCAGGAGAGAATTACTATTCCCCATTTAAAAGATTCACAGAAGTAATCCACTAACACAAACACAATGGTTTTCAGAGCCTGCCCTCTTGTCGGGCTAAGGGTGTTTGTGGCTACGTCCAGGTCAATCCGTATGGAGTAAGCTCAGAACAGTTCTGTCGTTGCCCCCAGGGATCGTGCCCTCTTACCACTGATCTGTTCGATGGAAAGACAGTGCCTCATGGATACGACCAGTACAAGGTAAGGTGGTATGAAACTAAGGTATAGACAGCTTACTTTAACTACCAAGTTGGTAAGTACACAGTCACAAAATGAGCTGACTACCGAGTTACTAACGTATAATGAGTGTGATTAAAAACTGTAAAACAGTACAAGAAAAAGTCTTACTAACATACAACTTTCATAAATTATAATGCGACCAACAGTGCTAATAATACAAAATAAATATTAAAGCAAAACAATCTTGATTAAGATTCACAATATTTAGAAGTAGCCTTAACCAGTGTTCCCTCTAAGCTGCGCGGCCGCACAACAACCAATCAAGCGCTGTGCACTTTATTACTCCAGCCGCGTATACCTCCAGTAATGGTGAGGAGTTTCAACATGTTGACAGCCTTAATGACCCTGGCAGTCGATAGGCCTAAAGCCCAAATAACCAACTGGTAGCATTCCAAAGCGGCCTAATAATGCAATACGGTCGATAATCTAAACCACCCTAAACAAAACTGGTAGCGCACATCCGCACATTGCCTTGATACTGGTGCACATGAAAAAAATCATTTCTCATATACATTGAAGATATTAGAGGGAACATTGATCATGATATGATAACATCGAAATGAAGCAAAACCAGAGTTTCCGTTTCCTGTTATGATTCACAATATATAAATATAGTTTAAACTAAAAAACTCGTTGTTCTGGAGGCTGCTTGTCCCGAGTACAATAAAAAAATAAAAGTCGACTTATGAACAGAGTTACAACTGAATAGCAAGCTTTAAACACGTCTGTGTATACATATTTGGCTATTCAAAGTATAATTTACTCTCATGTTTCAAATAATCGTATCTGTACGATTATTAATTTTAGAGACGTTTTACAACTTGGACGATGCTTATTTGGATCTGCATGATTATTTTTTTCAATCATCTTTAACGAAAAACACAAAATTCAATTTCATACTTTGGTTTCGACCTGTACAATCACTAAATTTGAAGTCTGAATTTTTCCACCCTTCACTACTATTTGGAACATGGGAGTGAGCACTTAAATCTGTGGTGCCATCTGGTGGGTGGAATATTATTTCTAACCGGCTTTTTTTTACCCGCTCTATAGATATATTTGTGTACAGTCTTTTACGAGTAAATGCGAAATTATAAAGTGACCTAAAACGTAATTTTCAGTTATTATTCACCGGTAACACTTTAAAATCAATAATCTATATAAGAGTAATACCTCAAGAACTGATATTATATGTAAATGGAAACTTAAGTGACGAGATTAGTATCAAATACAAAATGAAGCTTTGACTTTAGCAACCGTTTATTCGTTTGTTTCATTTTTGGCTTTTTTTTTAAAAGATTTATTTTTCCAATTCCTTAAGAGTAAATGTCTTGTCAATTTTTGTGATATCATAATACTTTTCACATGATTTAATTTTGAGAAAAATAATTACAAAATTATAGACTTATATAATCAAAGTTTAAACCATTTCTGAACTTCTTGTCACAAAAAAATCTTTCATAGTATTGTTGTCTCCCCTTTGTAACAGTTTTGTGACAGACAACCCCAACTTCATGTCTGTCAAGACGATGAAGCAGTTTACAGTTATAAAAAGAAGTCTTTCGTCTACAAAGATACATTCGATGTTGACGTACGAATTCGCTGCTTGTGCCCATCGGATCATGTCTTTGTAAAGAACGACACCAAGTTCTTCTACGGAGAAAATACTTCCTTCCTTTGGATTCAGTATAATTGCCGAGCGGTAATTAATATCTTCCTTCTGCTTTCCAAATACCAGATCGACATTATTATGATTAAGTTAAACATTAGTGTTACACGCAAATTACGAAGAATTTAAGAGGCGTTCGTAACTAGCTTTTCGACCATTTAAAACTTAAAATAAAGTGTAGAATGAAACGAACTTTAGTCATCTATTTTTATCGTTAAAAACAACATTGCTCTGCTATCACAGATGTTATTAGATGAGTAATCTAAAATTATATTAAAAATTCATTAATTTTCTATTTTAAACTATTCCTGTATCGTCAAAAGTCAACACACCAAATGGTAATAGCGCCATTAAGCACTAATAGAGTTGATGGGAATAATATTAATTAGAAGATCAGTTTGATAATTTTGCTTCGAAACCTTTGTTTATTCAATAAAATGTAACTAAGAATTTTGTTTTCGATTTATTTAGCCAAATATCTGCAACCCTAGTGACACCTGCCGAACAGTCACCGAATCTTACGATAAGATTTTGCATCGTAAGAAGAATTTAGTCTCAAGGCAATGCGTCTGTCCGGAAGAAATGTACTGCCCTCATCATTTAGAACTTGCTTTTGAGAGAGTGGACTTCGGTAAGGGCGGCTTCTACCAAATGAGATGCATGCAGGACAACTGACCATCCCATGACCGACCAACGTTTTTATTAAGTAGTCAAAGCTTTCCTCCTGCATAGTTTAGTGTTTCAAAAATTGTAACATGGACCAAACTGATTTTCTAAACTGATCTCTAAATCATACTTTACTTAATATTTGAAATATCAGTTTGTCAATTGTTCTTCAAATATGTATCGTTGGAAAATGTCCTAATGAGTATGTTATCGCGAAGTTTAATAACACCACCCATAACCGTTTGTTTTTGTTGTTGTTGTTGGTTTTTATGTCACCATCCGAATGTTTTGGAACAAATGATTAACATACTCTGTAAACTTTTCTTCATTTGACAATGAATAGTTATGAATAAAATAGTTTGAACTCAGCCGTATGCCTTTCCGTAATAATATTAGCTTTTAAGGTTAGTTTTTAAATTCTGATAGACTAAGTTGGTAGGCAGAAGCTGAACGAAATCATGAATGAACAACAAAAAAGTAAAATATTTAAATGTAAGCGAAGTTTTGTATATATATAGTATTCGAATCAATTTATCTTTCTTTAGAAAAGCTAAGGCCGGGTTTTGTCCCCGCCAGTTGCTTAGCGGCAATTTTGTAGGTTTATAATGCTAAAAATCTGGTTTTGATACCCGCAGTGAGCAAAGCGCAGAAGCACGTTGTGTAGCTATGTGCTTAAAAACAAATAAACAATTTAATTACGGAAATGAAAATGTATTTTCTAAGATATAAGTAGCAAGGAGTATAGTTTATTTTCAATATTACGTTCGAAAGTCATATTGTTAAAAATGACTGTTACCTCCTACAAAAGTAACTAAGAATGTAAACAATCCGACATGCAAATATTATACTCTTATAACCATTATTGTATATTACAGAATAAATTATGGTAACAATATTATATGTAAACACAAAAGGCTTATAACAGAAATTGTCATGTAAAGAATGGAGTATGTGAACAATATTATATGTAAACACTATAGGCTTATAACAAAAATTGTCATGTAAAGAATGGAGTATGTGAACAGTATTATATGTAAACACTATAGGCTTATAACAAAAATTGTCATGTAAAGAATGAAGTATGTGAACAATATTATATGTAAACACTATAGGCTTATAACAAAAATTGTCATGTAAAGAATGAAGTATGTGAACAATATTATATGCAAGTATTATATACATATAATCACCACTGTTTTTGGAAGAAAGGCTAAGGAAAATTAAATGAAGAAGAGATGTGAAATTTAATAAATTCAAAGAAATATTGAAAACCGCAGCGTCTAAGGTTTACCTGTGAATTAACATGTCTAAAGTTTTACTATATTTAAAAATTAACATACTGAAAAACATAATATTTAAGGTTTAACTCTATTTTAAAGTTTTGATGACTGTCAAACTATTTTTAGTAGTATATATAGTAATGTAAATATGTGGGTGTGTTGGGCTAAGAATTATTCTAAATATGTGTCAGCGACTTGTTGGCGATAAATTCGACACTACACGAACAACACACATTCCATTTGTTTTAAAATAAGCTATATATTCAAACAATGAAACGTATTATTATATTATATTAAACGTATGTACAAATATTCTTTACACTATGGAGATCATAGTTATATGTTAAACACCATACAATTCTCTTCTTCTTGTCAAAAGTCCACTTAGGCCAATTCAATTGCTTTAGAACAGTGGTCTGCAACCTATGATCCGCGGGTCACTTACTGACCCGCCAAAAGTTGGCTTCACCATTGCAACCCGTAAGGGCACAATCATTGTTCAGTTCAAATTTCTCGGCTATGTGAGAAAAACAACGATATTAAAGGAAAGATGGGAAAGAGTCACGGCTATGGAGAATTTTAAGATCAATTTCCGGGAAAAATATCAAACTGGT